TTGTCTGTGCATGTGTGGGTTTATTTTTGTGCTCTCAGTTGTGTTCCATTGATCTGTGAGTCTGTATTTGTGCCAGTACTGTTCTGTTTTGACTATGGTAACTTTGTAGGAAGCAAAACATACTGTTTTACTTACTGTAGCTTTATAGGAAATGGTTGTCCCTTGATATCTACAGGAGATTGGTTCTAGGACCCTTAAAGGATGCTAAAATCTATGCATGTTAAAATTCTTTTTATAAATGGCCCATAACCTACCAAAGGTTACTTCTAATATCTAATACAATGTAAATGCTTTGTAAATATTTGTAAATAAAATGTAAATCCTATGTAAATAATTGCCAGAATGCAGCAAATTTAAGTTTTGCTTTTTGGAACTTTCTGGATTTTTTTTCTGAATAATTTCAATCTAAGATTGGTTGAATTCATGGTGCATAACTCGCAGATTTGGAGGACCAGCTGTAATTTGAAATCAAAGAGTGTGAGACTTCCAGCTTTTTTTTTCTTTCTCAAGATTGTTTTGGCTGTTGGGGATCTTTTGTGTTTCCACACACCTGTGGTTTTTATTACTATGGCTTTGTAGTTTAGTTTGAAATTCAGAAGCATGATACCTCCAGGTTTTTTTTTCCGTCAAAGTCATTTTGCCTACTTGGAGTCTTTTGAGCTTCCATGCAAATTTTGGGATTATTTTCTCTATTATTGCGAAGAATGCCTTTACTATTTTTATGGGGATTATGTTGACTCTGTAGATGGTTTTGTGTCACATTTGAATAATATTAATTTTTCCAATCCATGAACATAGGATATCTTTCCATTTCTTCTTGTCTTCATGTCTTTTTAAAAATTTTCTTCAGCAAAGTTTTGTGATTTTCATTAGGCAGATCTTTCACTTTCTTGTTTAAAATTATTTCTAAGTATTTTGATACTAAGTATTTCTTATTTCTAAGATATTTCTAAGTATCTTAATACTGTTGTGAATGGGATGGATTTTTAAAATTTTTGTTGCAGAAGCTTCATTATTAACATATAGGAATGTGATTGATTTCTGTATGTTGACTTTGTATCTTGCCACTTAACTGAAATAATTGAATAACTCTAGTTTTTTGACAGTTCTTTGAGATTTTCTGTATGTAGGATCATACTATCAGTAAATAACCACAGTTTTGCTTCTCTTTTTCTTTGGTTGACTTTTTTTTTTTTCTTGCCCAATTACTCTAGCTAGGTTTTCAGGAAAACTGAAGGACTGAAAATACCCAGTTTCAAAACTTAATAAAAACTTTAATAATGTCAATGTAGTAACACACAAAAAATAGACAAAGAGTTTATTAGAACTCTTTGGAGACCTCAGAAATAAAGTTCCAAAAACTGAATAGGCATATTGAGAGTGGGTGTTATTGCCATGTTCTTGATTTTAGGGGAAATACTTTCAATTTCTCTACATTAAGTGTAATCTTAGTTAGCTAAGAATTTTCAATTAAGAATTCATCTTGAATATTGTCAAATATTTCTATTTCTATTGAGCTGATCATATTAATTTTCTGGTTTTTTTTTCTTCTATTAATGTGATGCATTTCATTCATTGCTTTTTGAGTGCTAACACAGCCATCATGCAATCTTGAGATTAGCCGCACTTGGGTTATTTTACACACACACACACACACACACACACATACATGTGATTATTTTAATTTACCATTTTGTTCAGGATTATGGAATGTATTTTTAGAAGGGGATTGTGGTCTGTAGTTTTTTCTTTTTTTGCAATCTTTTCTTCTGATTTTTGTATCAGGGTAATTATGGGCTCATAAAAAGAGTTGAAATATGCTCCCTAGTCCTACCTTCTGAAAGAATTTGTTTAAGATTTGGTACTATTCCTGTTTATTTATTGTGAAAGAGCACTCGACAGTAGATTTACCCCCTTAAATCTAACCTCCTAGAAGTTTTATAGTTTTGCAATTTAATTTTAGATTTACGATCCCTTTGAATTATTATTTGTGTGTGTGTGTGAAATGTGTAGAGTCAATATCTAGAGTTTTTCATGTGAATGCCCAGTTGTTCCAACACCATTTATTGAAAATGCTTTTATTCTCCACTGATTTGCATTTGTTCCATTATCAAAGATTTCATTATCTCTATGTAGGTTAATTTCTGAGGTCTCCATTTTGTTCTAATAAACTCTTTATCTATTTTTTTGTATGTACTTCAGTTCAGTTCCGTCGCTCAGTCATGTCCAACTCTTTGTGACCCCATGAACCACAGCAAGCCAGGCCTCCCTGTCCATCACCAACTCCTGGAGTCCACCCAAACCCATGTCCATTGAGTCAGTGATGCCATCCAACCATCTCATCCTCTGTCGTCCCCTTCTCCTCCTGCCCTCAGTCTTTCTCAGCATCAGGGTCTTTCCCAATGAGTCAGTTTTTTGCATCAGGTGGCCAAAGTATTGTAGTTTCAGCTTCAGCAACAGTCCTTCCAATGAATATTCAGGACTGATTTCCTTTGTACATACTACAGTACCATAATTATAGTTTTTATTGAGTTTTGAAACTAGGTATTTTAAGTCCTTCAATTTTCTTCCTTCTATTGCTCCTCTTCCTGCTTTCTCCTCCTCAACATTATGTTGTCTATGCTGTTTTTTGCCTTTCTATATAAACCTTAGAATCAGTTTGACAATGTCAAAAAACAATTGCTGGACTTTTTATTGTAATTGCATTGAACATCAAGTTGTGAAGAACTGACATTTTAACAATATGAAGTCTTCCTATTCATGAACATGAACATGAACATTCTCTTCATTTATTTATACTTTCTTTGATTTTCCTCATCAAGTTTTGTAGTTTTCATCATATAGATCCTATAAGAATTTTTTTCTAGATGTTGTTACCAAATTGAAGAAGTTTCCTCTGTTCCTAGTTTGCTAACTTAAAAAAAATTTTTTTTTCATTTATTTTTATTAGTTGAAGGCTAATTACTTTACAATATTGTAGTGGTTTTTGCCATACATTGTCATGAATCAGCCATGGATTTACATGTGTTCCCCATCCCGATCCCCCCTCCCGCCTCCCTCCAAATCCCATCCCTCTGGGTATTCCCAGTGCCCCAGCCCTGAGCACTTGTCTCATGCATCCAACCTGGACTGGTGATCTGTTTCACCCTTGATAGTATACTTGTTTCAATGTTATTCTCTCAGAACATCCCACCCTCGCCTTCTCCCACAGAATCCCAAAGTCTGTTCTGTACATCTGTGTCTCTTTTTCTGTTTTGCATATAGGGTTATCGTTACCATCTTTTAAAATTCCATATATATGCGTTAGCATACTGTATTGGTGTTTATCTTTCTGGCTTACTTCACTCTCTATAATGGGCTCCAGTTTCATCCATCTCATTAGAACTGATTCAAATGTATTCTTTTTAATGGCTGAGTAATATTCCATTGTGTATATGTACCATAGCTTCCTTATCCATTCGTCTGCTGATGGGCATCTAGGTTTCTTCCATGTCCTGGCTATTATAAACAGTGCTGTGATGAACGTTGGGGTGCACGTGTCTCTTTCAGATCTGGTTTCCTCGGTGTGTATGCCTAGGAGAGGAAACTAGACCTAGTTTGCTAACATTTTTATAAGTGATTTTAGATTTTGTCAAATGCTTTCTCTACAGCAATTGTGAGGGTCATTGATTTTTCTTCTTTAGTCTATCAAAATTATTGATTGTATTAATGGATGTTTGCATAATAAGCCATCCTTTCATGCTTGTGATGAATCCTACTTGGTTGTGTTATGTAATTATTTTTGTACGTTGTTGGATTCAATTTCCTAATTTTTTTTTGTTGAGGATTTTTGCATCTGTCTATTAGATCTACTTATTTATTAATCTAGGTTTATTTATGAGATCTACAGATGTGTTGATATATAATTTTCCTTTCTTGAAATGTCTTTGGTCTTGATATTAGGCTAACACTGGCCTCATAGAACTAGTTAGGAATCATCACATATCAGTGCTGGGAGAGTAATATGTCTGGGATTCCATGGGGTAAAGGCAGTAGAAGCTCCATGGTTAGTGCTTTTCCTGAATTCTGTCATCAGTGCCTTTCCTCTTGACTGATTTAATTTGTATTCTTTCCATATAATAAACCATAACTGTGAGTATTAACAGCTTTCAGTGCATTCTATGGGTTCTTCCAGTAAATTATAAAACCTGAGTGTGGTTTTGGGAATCCACTGAGCTTATGACTGGTGAAAATGAGGACACTCTTGGGGACTGTTCTTTCTAACTTTGCAGTGGGTCTAAACTCTACTCACCCCTTTTACATTTTCTTTAAACTTTATTTATTTTTTTGACTGTGTCCCAAAGAATGTGGGATCTTATTTCCATGTGGGATCTAACCCGCATGCCTTATATTGGAAGCATGGAGTCTTAACCACTTCCTCCAGGGAAGTCCCATACCTACCCCTTTCCCCACCCTGATTTATTGAGGTCTCATTAGCAAATAAAAATTGTATATGGCTTAAGGTTTACAGATATACAGTGTGATGTTTTCATATATGTATACATCGTGAAATGGTTCTCACGATCAAACCAGTTGAAATGTCCATCATCTCACACAGTTATCATTAAAACCATTTCTATCTTCTTAGCAAATTTCACCTGTATAATGCAGTACTGTTAACTGTAGATCCTGACAACAAACTCATTTTATCAATGAAAGTCTGTACCCTTTGACTTGTATCTCCCCTTTCCTCTCACGTTTAGGCACTGGAGGTGCCACTGTTCTCTGTTACAATATTTAGTTTCTAAAAAAAAAAAGTTGTTTTATATATTTTCCCCAGTTGTCTAGTTGATTAAGAGTAAGTTCCACCATAGTATTTTAATTGTTTAAAGATGCAAAAATCTCTAAGTGTCGACAGCATGCATATTTCCCTCCCAAATTAAAAAACTGCAACATAGCTCTTGCCAAAGTTTATATTGTTTCCATGACATACTTTTATTGTGTATTCCACTCATTTGTAGCAATGTGGGCCTGACAACTGTTGTAATCCTCGTACTTGTGTGCTGAAGCCAGGTTCAGAATGTGATAAAGGATTATGCTGCAACAACTGTAAAGTACGATTTTAGTTTATTACCATCTTCTAAGTATAGAATGAAACATGTCTTGGTTATTTTGAATACAGACACTTAGTTATAACTCAAAATAAATGACTTTTCATGTAAAGACAAAAATAAGTTCAGAGTGATGTGTCTAATTTTACAGATTATGGTTAGATGTTGAGTCCTCCTTATAATGCTATATTCTCCCTAATGATGCTATTGGTTTTAAGCCTTGATTGACAGCTATGACAGAATTCTTTGATGCAGAACATCTTCATTGAAAGGGACTATTTTCATTTATTTATCCAATATTTATATTTTTATTAAAAATGATTTTTTAGGTTATGATGGGTATTTGTGAGTATGTAATTGAAAGATAAAGCAATTTCCCATAAATGCATAAATAATGAAACTCACTAGATATAACACTTTCCAAATGCTGCATGTCAGCACAAAATTTAAACTACGAATTTGTTATACAAAGATCATTTGACTTAAAGGTTACATTTTAGCTTATATGATGAAGATGTTCATTCCTGTCCCCTGTTTTACTTTTCAGCTCTTCCAACATATATGTGACAGATTCATCACATGAGAACCCCTCTATTGAATGATCTGCCACTGGTTCTGTGTTCTTCACTGTAGTTAACTGATATGGTTTCCCCCAACCCTGGAATCTTACCATGGTTAATTCTTTCCTCTGTGATGTTTATAGTATAAACTAGAAGCCATAAATTAAGAAGTATAAGATAAATGCCCAGTTAATGTTCTTTATATAAATTTTAAGAATGCTATACAAGAAAATGTTAATGACCCATAGGATAAGTCAGGAGAAAGTTTACTATTGGGTTCCTTTTTTCCGAAAGACTTTAGTAGTTGAACTGCCTTCTTAATCATTCTTTGCATTCTATTCTCAGTTATTTAGGTTTCACATTTTCATAGAATTACAGATATTCCATACTTTAAGACTATGGTTTGAATAAGTATATTTTATTTAGAAAGTACCTAAATTTCACAGTATTCCCTAAAGCAATAATTATCCCAAGCTAAAAGCTACTTTTCCTGCCTTCTAGCGAAAACTTGGGCTCTCATTGTATCATATTTGTAATATACTTTTCCTTGTGCATATTCCTTACCTCCTGTTTTGGTTGATAACATTCAGTTTTTTTCAGTATGATTATTATAATGTTTTATAACAGGAAGGTACTGAGAGACACTAATGAATAAGTACTTCATCAAGCTATAAATGGAATTAGAGCAAGATTAAATATTGGTAAACACAATAATCATATATAATGCTTTACTTTTTATATTTTAATTTCTATTAGTTTATGCAAGCAGGTGCTACATGTAGGCCCATTGCACATCCTGAATGTGATATTCCTGAGGTTTGTAATGGAAGCTCAGGAAGGTGTCCGGCTGACATAACTATACTCAATGGACGGAAATGTGAAGGAGGAAAAGCTTTTTGTTATGATGGAGGCTGCCAAGATATTGATGCACGTTGTGAGAGTGTATTTGGAAAAGGTATTGTTTTGTAACATCTATATAGTTGGTCCTCAATATTTTCATTAACATTACCAAGACAATGGTCAATTAGATATATTTAAATTATTTATTCTGTTTAAAATCTCTTTTTTGGAGAAGGAAGTGGCAACCCACTCCAGTGTTCTTGCCTGGAGAATCTCATGGACAGAGGGGCCTGGTGGGGCTGCAGTCTATGGGGTTGCAAAGAGTCAGACACGACTAAGCAACTAACACACACACACAAAATTTCTTTTTAGTTTTTGAACTTATTAAAAATATGTTTAAGGTGTACAACTTAATATTTTGATATGCATATACATTATGAAATAATTGCCACAGTCATCTGCTTAACATATTGCCTGTATATACCCAGTAATATGCTTGCTGGATCCTAAGGTGGTGCATTTTTGAGAAGCCTGTCTACTGTTTTCCATAATGACTGTGCCAATTTTCACTCCCATCAACAGTATATAAAAGTTTCATTTTCTCCACATTCTTGCTAATACTTATTATCTTTTTCTCTTTGATAACACACTATCCTAAAAGGTGTGAGTTGTGGTTTTGATTTGCATTTCCCTGATAATTAGTGATGTTGAATCCCTTTTTACGTATCTGATGGTCATTTGGCTTTTATTTGGAGAAATATCCATTTAGGTCCTTTGCTATTTTTAAATCTCTTTATCTTTCTTATTTAATTATGAGTACCATATTTTAGAAATTAATCCCTTATCAGCTATATGGTTTGCTAATTTTTTCTCCCATTCTGTAGGTTTCATTTTTGCTTTTTTGCTTATTTTCTTTGCTGACTTTTTTATTTTGATGCAGTCCTACTTATCTACTGTTGCCTGTGCTTTTATGTCATCCAAAAAATATTGCCCAGATTAGTATCCAAGAGCTTTCTCTATCTCTTTTTTTCTAGTATAGTTACAGTTTCAGGTAAGTTTAAGTCTCTTCAACCACAAACTTTACTGATTCACAATTGACATATAACATTCAGTAAGTTTAAGTTGTACAATTATTAATTTGGTGCTTTTATATATTTCAGAATGATTACCACCATAGTGTTAGCTAAACTTCCATTATGTCACATAATTACCATTTCTTTTTCATGGTGAGGACATTTAAGATATACTTTCTTAGCAACTTTCAGGTATATAATTTGATATTACTAAGTATAAACATCATGCTGTGTGTTAGATTCCAAGAAGTTTTTCATGTTATAACTGGAAATTTGTAACCTTTGAACACCTCCCCATTTTCCCCACCTTGCAGCCTGTGGTAACTATTGCTCTACTCTTTGCTTCCCTGAATTCAATTAGATTCCACATATAAGTGTTATCATAGAGTATTGTCTTTCCCTGTCTGACTTATTTCACTTAGCATAATGCCCTCGGAGTCCATGTTGCTGCAAAAGGCAGGATTTCCTTCTTTCTCAGGACTGAATATTTATATCTCATGTTTTCTTTGCTGATTCACACTATCAGGAAGGGGGAAATTTCCCATCCTCATTGCCTTCTCTGGTTCTTTCGCCTGGTCAAATAATTAAAATGACATAACACAGATTAACTGGAGAAATAAAATTTTAGTTCATACATATGAGAACCCCACATACATGAGAGAATCGGAGATCACATAAGAGGTTCAGAGACAGAAAGATAAAATGAGTTGTATGTGCTGTCCTGCACTAAGGAATGAGATAGGGGCCTGGGGCTTTTAAGGACAGGAGGGTCATTCACAGGATGATAAGAAGAGCAGATGTTTGGTAATTATATATTTGCCTTGCCATCCAGATCAGGCCAGTGAGATAGAATTTATCTTTGATATTAAATATGTTTCTGGGGGAAAAAAGCCCCTAATTTAAATTCTTCTAGGTAGTTAAGGGAAGGGTAGTATATATATATATATAGCCTTTACCTCAAAATATGCCAAAGTGGTACATTTTTTAATTGTTTCTTTTTCTGTGCAAAAGCTTTTCAGTTTGATGAAGTCCCACTTTTTATTTTTGCCTTTGTTGCTAATGCTTTTGGTGTCATATTGAAAAAGTCATTACCAAGAGTCATGTTAAATAGATCTCCCCTTGTGTTTTCTTCTAGGTATTTTAAGGTTTCTGTTTTTGCATTTAAGTCTTTATGAATTCATTTTTTTTTTTTGAGCTATGTGAGGCTGGGGATCAATTGCATTCTTTTGCATGTGGCTGTCCAGATTTCTCAAAACTATTTGTTGAAGAGATTCTTCTTTCCTCATTGAGTATTCTTGACTCCCTTGTCAAATCTTAGTTTAGCATATTGTGGGGGGTTGTTTCTGGGCTCTCAGTCTTATTCTATTGGTCTTTTTGTCTATTCTTATTCCAGTACTATAGTGTTTTAATTTCTATAGCCTTGTTATATAATTGTAATAAGGAAGGTGTACCTCTAGCTTTGTTCTTTCTCAAGATTGCTTTGGCTATTAAGGATTTCTTGTGGTTCCATACAAATTTTCAAATTGTTTTTTGTATTTCTATGAAAAACACCTTTGGAATTTTGTTAGGGATTTCATTGAATCTGTAGATGGCATTGGGTGATAAAGACTTCTTTTTTTCTTTAAATATTTATTTGACTCTCTCAGGTCTTAGTTGTGGCACACAGGATCTTTGTTACAACACAGAGACTCTCTAGTTGTGGCACACAGACTAAGTCCTTGTGGTGTGCAGACTTAGTTGCTCTGTGGCATGTGAAATCTTAGCTTCCTGACCAGGGATCGAACCCATGTCCCTTACATTGCAAGACAGATTCTTAACCACTAGTCCACCAGGGAAGTCCCTATATGGATATTTTAATGATGTAAATTCTTTGACCCATGATAACAGAATATCTTTCTTTTCGTGTCTTCCTAGAGTTCTTTCATGAAGATCTTGCAGTTTTCAGGCTATACATCTCTTACTTGGTTAAGTTTATTCCAAAGTATCATATTGATTTTGATGCTATTGGGAATGGAATTAAAAAAAAATTCAGCTGTTGTTAGTGTACAGAAATTCAATTGATTTCTGTATGTTGACTTTCTTTTTATTTTTAAATGCTTGATTACAGCTTTGAATGAAGTCCAAGTTGCTTTTACTTTATTTTATTTATTTTTTCCCATCCCCATTAACTTCTCTGGTTCTTTTGCCTGGTCAAATAATTAAAATGACAGAAGACAGATTAACTGCAGAAATAAGATTTTAGTTCATACATATGAGAACCCCACATGCATGATTTTAAATAGCTCAGCAGGATTTCTTTCACCATTAGCTTTGTTAGTAGTAATGCTTCCTAAGACTCACTTAACTTCACACTCGAGGATGCCTGGCTTTAGATGAGTGACCACACCATTGTAGATATCTGGGTCATTAAGACTTTTTTGTATAATTATTCTGTGTATCCTTGCCACGTCTTCTTAATCTCTTTTCTTCTGTTAGGTCCTTACTGTTTCTGTCCTTTATTGTGCCCATCCTTGCATGAAATATTCCTTTGATATCTCCAGTTTTCTTGAAGAAATTTCTAGTCTATACCATTCTATTGTTTCCCTCCACTTCTCTGTGTTGTTCACTTAAGAAGGTCTTCTTATCTCTCCTTGCTGTTCTCTGGAACTTTGAATTCAATTGGGAATATTTTCCCCTTTCTCCCTTGCTTTTCACTTCTCTTCTTTTCTTATTTATTTGTAAAGCCCCATCAGACAACCACTTGGCTTTCTTGCTTTCCTTTTTCTTTGGGATGGTTTGTTACAAATCTCTGTCCACAGTTCTTCAGGAACTCTACCAGATATAATCCCTTGAATCTATTCATCACTTCTACTGTATTAGGAATGTGATTAGGATCATACCTGAATTGCCTAGTGGTTTTCCCTACTTTCTTCAATTAGAGCCTGAATTTTGCAATAAGGAGCTGTTGATCTGAGCCACAATCAACCCCAGGTCTTGTTTTTGCTGATTGTGTAGAGCTTCTCCATCTTTGTCTGAAAAGAATAAAATCAATCTGATTATGGTATTGACCATCTGGTGATGCTCATGTATAGAGTCCTCTCTTGGGTGGTTGAAAAAGGGCACTTTTTTATGACCAGCATGTTTTCTTGACAAAACTCTGTTAGCCTTTGTCCTGATTCATTTTGTTTTCCAAGACCAAACTTGCCTGTTATTCTGAGTATCTCTTGAATTCCTACTTTTGCATTCAAATCCCCTATGATGAAAAGGACATCTTTTTTTGTGTTAGTTCTAGAAGGTGTTGTATGTCTTCAAAGAATCAGTCAACCTTAACTTCTTACGCACAGTTGTTGGGGCATAGACTTGGTTTACTGTAACGTTGAATGGTTTGCCTTGGAAACAAATTGACATCATTCTGTCATTTTTGAGGTTTCACCCAAGTACTGCATTTCAGACTCTTTTGACTGTGAGGGCTGCTCCATTTCCTCTAAGGGATTCTTGACAATAGTAGTAGATATAATGGTCATCCTAATTAAAGTTGCCTATTCCTATATATTTTGGTTCACTGATTCCTAAGATGTTGATTTTCAATCTTGCAGTCTCCTGCTTGACCATGTTCAATTTACCTTGATTCATGGACCTAACATTCCAGGTTCCTATGCAATATTGCTCTTTACAGGATCAGACTTTATTTTCGCCACCAGATATATCCACAACTAAGCATGGTTTCTGCTTTGGCCCAGCCACTTCATGCTTTCTGGAACTATTAATAATTGCCCTCTGTTCTACCCCAGTAGCTCTATCTTCCTTCTGACCTGGGGGCTCATCTTCCAGTGTCATATCTTTCTGCCTTTTCATCCTGTTCATGGCTTTTTCTAGGGAAGAATACTGGAATGGGTTGCCATTATCTCCACCAGTGGACCATGTTTTGTCAGAACTCTTCACTGTAACCTGTCCATCTTGCCTGGCTCTGCACAGCATGGTTCATAGCTTCACTGAAGGTGAAGCAAGCCTCTTTGCACACCGCAAGGCAGTGATTGATGAAGGGGGTTGTGCCTCATAGCAT